TGTCTAATAACTGGTCATCTTTACTAGACTCAGGCGAGATTGCCTTGAGAAAAACGAGGTTCATAAGTGCAGGGGATGAAACATCGTCCTCAAAATCGTAGCCACCACAGTATTACTGTATTTTTAAGACACTTTTTTCATTTAAAACCTTCAAGATTCTATTTTCCCCAAATGTTTGCTTGCACATGTAAAAAATTGTACCTTTTTTTGGCAACTTGAATAACAAAAAAAGGTTCTGCATTGAGTTAAAATACGGTTTTAGGACTATTTGTCATAAAGAAAGGCTGGGATGACCTCCTGGCTTCAACCAATAGGGTTTCTCCAGCAGAGAGAGAGCGAGAGAGAGAGACTAAGAAATCATTTATTTTTTAGATTCTCTAGAGATCAGCAGTAGTTAGGATTATTCAATCCAATTCAATTCAATTCAGTTCTAATCAGTTCAGTTCAATGCAGTTAATGTCATTTCATGTAATTTCAATTCAATTCCATTCAAATCAAATCAGTTCTGTTCAATTCAGTTCTAATCAGTTCAGTTCAATGCAGTTAATTTCAATTAAATTAAAATTAAATTAAATTAAATTAAATGCAATGCAATTCATTTCAAATGATTTCAATTCAATTCAATAATTTAATTCAGTTCAAGTCAACTCAATTCAATTCAATTCAAATCAGTTCTGTTCAATGCAGTTAATTTCAATTAATTTCAATTCAATTCAATTCAGTTCAATAGCCCCACAACGAGTCGTCTCAAGGCGCTTCACAAAGTTAACATTCCAATAGAGTTCAGTTCCCTGCAGCCCATTTTCTAAACACACGAGGGACTGTCACACTACTGTTCTGAGTTTCATGGCTGTTGCCAGCTATGGCTCAGCTCCAGAAGATTCTAAATGACGAGCAAAGACGAGTCATACACAGAAAGTTGATGTATAACTGCTAGGGATGGGTACCGAATTCGGTACTTTTTAAGGTACCGACCGAATTCCATAGTACCGACCGAGCACCGATTCACGTCATTTCAAACGGTGCCTCGTTTCGGTACCCGTCCATCATAACGAGAACTTGCCAAGACAGCTGCGCATGCGCAAGAGCGTTATGTCTGTGCTCGCTGCGAACTAGTTGTAAACAGAGCAGCATGGTAGAAAGAACGCAGGCTAAAGCTTGGGTCCACTTCACTAATTGTGATGGGTAACTGGGTGATGATGAAACCAGCGACAACAATCTAAGTGAGCCATCCTCATCTTAATCTGCTCCTGTAGGTAAATATAATTAGCTTGATATGTTAGCTTCCGTTTCGCTAATGGTGCGTTCGCTTTCTCCTCGGAACTCCGAATTCCTGATTAGAAGAACATGAACGCGCTCTAAAGTTTGGCTTCACTTTACTAAATGTGACGGGTGAAGACGAAACCAGTGACAACGATCTAAGTGTGAGGCATCATCATTTTAATCTGCTCCAGCAGCTAAATAAACTGTTTAAGAAGATAACTTTAGCTTGGTATGTTAGCTTCCATTGCTACCATTGTTATCAGCTAATGGTGCATTCGCTTTCTCCTCGGAAATTCTAACTTCCCAGTAGGAAAAATCAAATGAAAAAAGATGGCCAAAGGAATGAAGATACACAGTAAATTTAGTTCACAGCAAAGATGTTTGCTTCAGTTTAATTATCAGCTTATAAAACTACAAGGACGACGTTAAAATACAGTTGTATGTTATTTATCATGATATTTATCAAGTATTGTTATACACTGAGAAAAATATATATTTAATTATAGAAGAGAATTAAAATAATAAGTACCGGTATCGATTTGTAGGTACCGGGAATTAGTACCGGATCGATTCAAATGTCAAAAGTACCCATCCCTAATAACTGCTCTATCTACTCAATCCCTGTGAGTTGTGACAGATGGCCTCTAGAGGTTTCTTCCTGTTAAAAGGAAGTTGTCCTCCCCACTGGCGCTACATGCTTGCTTAGAATGAGGATTCTGCCACTAGTCTGTGACTCGATGCAATTTGCTGGGTTCCTTATATAGAAAATGTTTTACAGGAAGAAATCTCCAGAGGATCCTAGCTCAGGATGAGCAGCCATCTGTCAGAACTCACGGTGATTGAGTAGATAGAGAAGTTATATGTGAACTTAGTGTGTATGACTTGTCTTTGTTCATCATTTGGAATCTTCTGGAGCTGAACCATAGCTGGCAACAGCCATGAAACTCAGAACGATAGTGTGACAGTCCCTCGTGTGTTTGGAAAATGGGCTGCAGTAATCAAATTTGACCACAGGATGTCATCCTTACATCATTCTTACATATTGCACCTTCAAATTTATGCAGTGAAGTAGATTAATATTTGCTGCATAATAGACTTAATTATTATTGTGAGGCAGTTTATGAAAAGTTAATAAAAATACAACAGATCTGATGTGGCTACATCTCTTTAAAACATCTCTCACCTGCACATGACTGATATTTGAACGTGCAAATATTTACATACTCAAAGCTACATTAATTCATGTGCTTTAACTTTTAATAGGCAGTCAGCACATTCACCTTGTGTGAATGATGCTGGCGTGTCCCATGTAGGCTGTCGCTCTGTGATTGACGACTTATCCGTGTGCAGCGTTGTGTCAGCTGGTCAAAGTTAAATGTAAAAGGTGACCCTGCTGTGAGTCCTGACTACACACACACACACACACACACACACACACACACACACACACACACACACACACACACACACACACACACACACACACACACACACACACACACACACACACACACACACACACACACACACACACACACACACACACATGATTGTGAAGCCTCGTGTTTTGTGTCTCCAGGAGCAGGGGGAGCCATGCATATTAATGAGATGTAGTCATGTCACCAGAGGGCAATAATGTTCTTCTAATTTTGATCATAGCTGCACCCGTTTCGAGATTAAATTTGAGTTGACAACTGCTTTTAATGGGAACACTGATTAATTTCAGTACCTTGTGCCTGTTCTGAAGAACAGTGCGATTAGATTGCCAGCATGATACTTTCTACTTTGCTATGTAACACATTTATCTTCTTGAAGGCTGTTAACAACTCTAAGTGGTGTCTAAATCACAAACAGATACTTCAGAATTGACATTTTGCAGATCAAGGCGCAAAAATAATTTGTAATCTGTGTTTTACAAAAACATAGATGCCTTTTATCAACTGAGTACTTTTAACGATGACACGGAAAAGGACTCCTGTTGCGTTCAGCTGCAACAGTTTGCTTGTTGGAGCACATTTCAAGGTCTGAATGCCCAAATGATTAATGATAATCAAGTGACCATAGTCTGCACACTGTTTTTGCTCCAGTATAAGTCCTCCACGCTCAAAGGAGATACTTGTTGCTGGTTTTCCACCCTCCACGGGCTCTCTCTCTCCTCCTCCTCCTCCTCCAGCCTTTCCCCACCTCCCTCTTTCTCTCTCCACTCTGGAATCCAGACCACTTTCATCCACCTGCCTCTCATTTGGCCTGGAAATCTAGGTCTGCCCCTCCACACAGTCCACCAATCTGTCTCACCTACTTAATCATGTGGTTGCTCAATATATTTTCCTGTCTGATTGCTTGTCTTTCTCACACTCTTTGATATTTTTCTCCTTCTGCCTGCTTTGGGACCTCTTTCCCTTAGCGGGGCAGTTTCAGGAGGGCAGAAGGGGGCTGCAACTGGGCAGGGGGATACTGGGGGGGGTCCGTACCGCAGTGAAAGCGTGAAGAGCATGGTGACGGAAGGAGTGAGGGTCGGGAGGTGGCAGACCATACACGGCCCACCAGGAGGACAGAGACCCAGCAAGTGAGTTCAGAACCAGGCCTGAATAACCTCAAACATCTCATTCTCTGAGCTGCAAAACAAACTCCTACGTCTTTTACGGGAAGGAACCGGTTCTGAGGAGAGACATAGAGCGAGACAAGTTGAGTTCAGCAGGGAGGGAGGTGCAGTTTAGGTGAGAAGGTGCAGATCAAGGAGGGAATGCTAGCAACAGAAGATAACAATAGTTACAGGAACGTCGTCAGCTGACACAGGCTAGCTTAACCCGCGAACCTGCAGGAAGTTTTGATTTATTCATGTTAGAAATGACACTTCCTGCAAGTTTAATATAAAATTACACAGAAGTTGCCACATTTTCCTTCACAAACTTGTATACACCTCACATGTTGTCCGTTCTAAAGCGTCACCGACTGCTTGAGCAGCTGTGACGTCCCACGTGATGTCGGTCTATATTCAGCGTGCTGTAAATGAGGCAGTTAAATGCTTGTTCTGTGAATTTTTCACTTTCCATCCACACTTCATGCCTGCGATTTCTTCCTCCACAACACATCGAGCTTCATCACATCCCTCCTTTTTCTTCTCCTCTCATCTTTCTTTTTGCCCCTGTCTGTAATTGGATTCTATTTTAGGGCTGCTATAAGTGTCTGTGTCTCTTGTGTTTGCGTCTCGCACCCCATTTTCTGTCTCCCCTTCCATCGTCACCCTCTGCTCTTATTGTTCCCATCGCTCTCCCCATCCCTGTGTCACCATTCAAATTCACTTTATGTATTTATTTTCTCCTAACTTTCCCACTAAACAGTTTACCTCTGCAGATTCCTCTGTTGTTCTGTCGTCAACCTTTTGTTTAGGACTGTGAAAAGTGATGGATATCACACAATAAGCTTCGTGTGAAAGTGTGTTAGATAAAGTAACTGATGTAAATAGCTCTTCCGTGACCCATTTCTGGTAGTCTGGGTTACACAGTGAGCCAAGAGATGAGGGTATTTTTAGTGCGTAGAAGAAAATCAAGAAGGAGATGATGAGATTTATGTATAGGGATGTACATAAATTTAAGTTTTGCAGTTGTAGGACATGCCACTTGTTCATGCACCATTTAAGGAAAGGCAATTAGCTGGTTAAAGAGTCTGAGGAGGAGTGGAAATTGGGTGACTGACAGAGGGAGGGGGCCATGCTGCAGAAGTTGGTTGGCTGTGGGATCTCTCTGGAGGTTCAGCATGTATTTAAAAGACAAAAAATACTTAGAGAGAAGAGTACAGGCTGTCAGAGATGTTGACTGGCGAGTAGAGGAAATGGGGATCTCTTATGCTACAAAACCGTCATCGAGAAAGCCTGGGAGCTGCAAACCCAAAGCGCACTCGCCTCGAGGTGGTCGCGTGACGCCGAGCCGCTCTACTCCCATTAGGACTGTCAACGTCCGACCCCTGCCGCTGCGAAACACACCTGCATCCAAACATCACGCTCACATCACACGCAAGGTGCAGTCACGCGCGACACATAAGAGCAGCCAACAGGCTTCACGCGGCTGCTCGACGCAGCCACACCAGCAGAACCCAGCATTCAGCGATCACCACGCAGGCTGCACCTTCTACTGCTATTTTTGCTACTGCTGTTACAGCTGCTGCCTCACATTGCTCTCTTTTTGTCTCCTTCTTCTCCTGTCTCCACCTCCCAACGTTCCTTCCAATGCTCTTTCCTCCACTTTGACCTCAAACACTACTGCTTCCTCCTCTCCCATCCCATCTTCTGCTTCCTGTTGGGATCAAATCTCCTTTTTCTGTCCGGATGCCAACCTAACTGCTTCCTCCCCTGTGTCTCCTCACCATCTTGCCCCTCCCTGTTTGATTACTGATGACTCTTTACCTTTCTATACCTCCTCATTTCCTGACCACCTCACTCCTGAACAACTCTCCTCCTGCCGTGCCTCAACTTGCATCACTGCTACCTCCTCTTCTGTATCTGACTCCCTTTATTCTCGCCATAATCCAATTCTCTGCCGGCCTTGGCCTTCCACACGCTCTCTTTCCTCCCTGCTCCTTTGCCCCCCCAGCTTTGGGGATCCGGTGTTATCCTATGCCTCCACCCTGGATCACATTCCTGCTGGGCCGGCGCGGCCTCGGACGCTGCTTCGCCAGCAAAGTCTCCAGCAGCCTCTTATCCACCCACTGGGCCCGGTCCTCAGCCAACCCCCCACCACGTCCCAGAGCTTGGGGCAGTTACACACTGCACCTGGACAGCACGGGGGAGGCGGGGGAGCTCAGAGAGGAGAGGGAGGTGGCAGCGGTGGTGAGGGTGGGGGTGCAGGTATCCGAGGCGGCTCCCGAGGGGCACGTGGAGGCCAAGCCGGAGCAGCTACCTCTCGCTATCGGGGAGGTGGTGCAGGAGGGCGCTCGCGAGCTAATCCAGGGAGCTGGGATTACATGATGGACCAGATCAAGAATCGGGGTCTGGATGTCAAGTCCTTTCTGTAAGTTTAAATATGTCTTTATTTATTAATTTTCATTGCAGCCATTTAGGTTTCTTTCTGTTTGTCCCAATATTCACCCTGTGCTGTGTAGAGGTATTTAAGATGATAATAGTTTTAAATAATGTGTTAAGGCTCAGAATAACCTGATTCCAAGGGGTTCTTTAGGTGATTTATTCATGTTTAAATCTGATATCCAGGGAAGGATATTACTTCTGTTTGTTCAAAAATGAGCGGTTTGTACTCACACACACACACACACACACACACACACACACACACACACACACACACACACACACACACACACACACACACACACACACACACAGGCGTGAGTGAGCAGGAGCATTTGGAACAGTAGTAGCTTTCGTTTTAACGCCTGATGAACATTATGTATGATGAAGGCCTTCGAGTTCATATTATAGCTGATCATGGTGATGCAGGATAATGAAGCTTAAAACAAATAAGGAGGCAATGAAGGGGCTTATATGCAAAAGCTATCAAATATTACAATTAGCGTGGAATTTTAAACGTAAATAAGCTGTTGCTTTCCCGCTTTGAGGCTGTTGTGTTGAAGTCATTTTTTCTTAATTAAAAACATTAAATCAGATATTTAAATTGCAATCACAGTTTTAGAGGTCTTGCAGCCGTACCTAAGCTGAGCATTTAAATTCCTCAAAACCAATAATAACCTTCAACATTTCTTAATATGAAAGCATCGTCCTTAATGAGTTGTAATAAAGCACAGAGCTTCTTGCTGAGCAACCTGTAAAGAAAAAGTCTATTTTTTCGAAAGTCATGCATGAAAAATGGCGAGGAGGTGCAACATATTGCAGGCTGCTTCTGTCCCATTCTGCTGGAGAATTGTTAAACGGATCCACTGCATGCTCTGCTAGGCAGTAACATCTGTTTTGATGGCGTTCAGCCTGTCTGCTGCAGTTGTCGTTACAGAACAGAACTAATGATGCTTTGTCGCAATGTTCCTGAAATGAAAGTTGTTTTTAAAAGATTTATAAAAATAGCTGATGGGAAAAATAAAATTATCTATAATTTATAAAATGAAACATTTTATTCGGATTGACGTAACTTCTGCTGACACCAGCGTGCCGCTCACACATACTAGGATGTCACAGTGTATCAGTATATGGACAGTGGTTAAGCAGCTGTGTGTAGTTTTGGGTTAGCCTGATGCATTGATCTTACATCACCTTTCAGCGCCGTTACTTCTGCAACTTATTGTTACTCCCTACCTTTAGCAGGTTTGGAGGGTAAATACAGCAAAACAAAGGGTTGTGAAGGGATGCACGAGCAAGGACAATGTCAAGGTACATCATGTGCTCAATGTGCGCTGACTCGGTTTTACAGTAGCACTTCACCACTCGTTTCCCTCCAATGCCTCCCAGGGCATCACAGTTGAACCAATGCCAGTAGCTAACCCGGCATCAGTGATGCAGTACACCATGCATGCACCAAGGTCGCTGACAATATGGCCCATGATTGTCAGCCATGGCGCTCATCGTATTAAATGTGAATTTAAGGTCATTGTTGGCGTACTTCCTTCTCTGCAACATCAACACTTCATGTGATGGATGGCAGAGGGGGGCAGTAATATGAGTGACCCATTGCTCAAGACATTCAATTTAAATCTTGGCCAGATTCCCCGTTTGGGTGAATCATTGCCTCTAATGAAAGTGTTGATGTCACTGACACAGATCCTTTGCCTTTGGAAAACTTTGACTAAATGGATTACTTTAGATCAAGGGTTCCTTTCTGTTTATGTATTTATTTATTTTGGTGCAAAATCGATCATTTTATACGAACTTCGCTGACATCTTGTCCCTCTCTCGCCTGTGCTTCCTTAATGTTTGCAAAGTGCTTTAACAAGATTCCTCTGTGTAAACACCCGCACTTAAATAGTAATGTACAAGAAGTGGGATCCAATAACATTCTACTCACAGTGCCAGTGTAAGCACCACATCATACTGTATAGATCAATGATTCTTGGCCAACACTAAGAAAGGTGTAGTAATTAGAACAATTTCACAAAAATACCCTACATCATAATGAGCTAACATACAACAAACTTAACATAACAAAGAAACAAACAAACAAATAAATAAAACAACAGTATTTAAAGCAGGTCATAAAAAGGTGGGACTGGAATTTGCCAAAATGCATTCTGTCACTTCAGAACAGTCCTGTAAGATTAAATAAATAAATAAAAGTGGAGCTTTTTGACAAATGACACCAGAATCAGAACCAAATTTACCTGTATTGTCATTGTTTTGAGAAAAAAAAAGTTTGGGGGGGGGGGGGGGGGGGGAACAGACAGTCAGCCCAATGTTTGTTGATGCAAAAAGAGAATCATACAAAGAAAATAACTCTGCAAAGCAAACGTGCTACCAAATGCCAGAAAGCTTACGGAAGATCAAAGGTACTCCAAGAGGATATTGACCCTTAAACAAAGAGCTAAAAGCACCAAATAATAGATCAGAATCAAATGTGGGACTGATCCCTGATCTAAACCTTTTTGAACATTTGTTTAGGAGCTAAAACTTGTAGTCTGGAGAAAGAATCCTGCAGATCTGGAACGGCTGGAGCGGGATGAAGTGAACCAAAGCATCTGTTGACAGGTGCAGAACTCTCACTGGGAAATGCAGAAATCACTTGATTGAGGTGATTGTTTGAAAAGGTGGTGCAATTGATTTTTCAGTTATAGTTTATTTGTCCAGGCCACATTTTTTCATTTATTCTGCTGAATCACAATTATAAAGCAGTCTCTGAGTTTTATTAGTTCATTTCGATCACTAATCACCTAGCTCCAATACAAAAAAAGATAAATACTTTTCTGTCCTCCTCCCGCCTCTTCCACGGTTAATATCTTGAAGTTCACAGACTGACTTTATTTCAATGCAGGTTGAGTTAGCATTCAAGCTAAGTAGTGTGCTAAGCTGAGTCTGTGTCACTCTGTGTTGGACGCTGGGGGCATTCTCGTGATTTGACAGCTCCCTTCTGTGAATATGCAACACTATTTGTCAACTCTCTAGGCTCGTGTAAATTATTGTGCTTGTACCGCTAGAGGAGGAGCTGACATCATAATGCAGGCTAAGTTAGCATTCAAGCTAGCAACATATTAGTCTACTGTAATCACAGGATTCAACAATAGCTTACTTTAAAGTTGGCATCACCGCACAAGGGCTGCTAATGCTAGACAAAGAAAATGTATTTGCTGATTAAAAAACATGCACATGCAACATGCTTGGACGTATTTAAAAACAACAGCCAACATTATATTGTGATTGTCTGAATACCGGTATGTGCTTTTTAAGGTCAAGGTCAAGGTCAATTTTATTTATAGAGTGCATTTACAGCAGCAAATCTACACCCAAAGCGCTGTACAAGGTAAAAACAAACCAAGGTACAACAAATCAACAAAAATGCCTAAAATAAGATGAGCACACAACAGTCACAATTTGTAATAAGAACTGTCAAAAACTATTAAGAGGCTCAAGTCAACCTGCATTAAAAGCCAGATCAAAAAAGTCCATCTTGAGGAGGGATTTAAAATGCTCTAGATTCTGTGTGGTCCTGATGTTGAGAGGTAACTTATTCCACAGTTTGGGACCAACCACAGAGAAAGCTCTGTCGCCCCAAGTCTTATGGCAGATTTTTGGATCTGTTAAAAGAGCTTGAGAGCTGGACCTCATGGTTCTGGCAGGGACATAAGCAGACAGCAGCTCAGAGATATAAAATGGGGCTAGGCCATGAAGGGATTTAAAAACAAATAGTAAAATTTTGAAATGGATCCTGTAAGAGACAGGAAGCCAAATGGAGAGAGGCCAGAACTGGGGTTATGTGATCCCACTTGCTGGTGCCAGTCAGAAAGCGGGCCGCTGCATTTTGGACCAGCTGAAGCCGATGTAGGGAGGACTGGCCCAGGCCAGAATACAGGGAGTTGCAGTAGTCCAATCGGCAGGACACGAACAGGTAGATGGCATGTTCCAGGACATTAGCAGGTGTAAGGTGAACATTGGGAGCAGGGTTGGGTTACTTGTCCCCCCCCCCCCCCCCCACTACTTGTCACCCCTTCTTTCTGCAAATGGGAGCACCATGGTGGCTGCATGCCCACAGTCAACCTGTTCCTGCTTACGTGTTTTTTTGTATTAAGGACTGGCTAGCCAGTAACTGTCTTCAGCTGAACTCAAGCAAGACTGAAACACTGACCAAACACTGACCAGCTCCTGAACAGATAGTGCGTTTAATCAAACAACACCTCGGTTCCCTGAGCTCCTCAGTCCAGACCAGTCTCAGAAACCTTGGTGTTCTTTTTGACCAGTTCATGTCTTTGAGCTGCCACTCAAAACATTTAGTAAAGAACTGTTTTTATCATTTGCGAAACATTTCCAAATTGAGAGCTTTTACTTCAAAATCGGGCTTGGAGATGATTATCCATGCTTTTATTTCCTCTCGTTTAGATTATTGTAATTCTATCTTTACTTGTTTTAACAAATCAGATGTCAGTCGTCTCCAGTTGGTCCAGAACGCTGCAGCATGGCTTTTAACAGGAACCAATAGAAGGGCTCACATAACACCGGTTTTATCTTCTTTACATTGGCTACTGGTCAAGTTTAGAATTGATTTAAAAATGCTTGTTTTGACTTTTAGAGCTCTTAATGGACAAGCTCCACAATACTGATTTAAAACTAGAGGGGACCTGTCCTTTCAAGCTGTAGCTCCCAGACTTTGGAACGCCCTGCCCTTGTTTCCTCGTGTGGCCGACTCTGTTGATTCTTTTAAAAAGCAGCTGAAGACACTTTTATTTAGACAAGCTTTTATGTAAGTTGACCTTGTGCTCCTGCCCTGTTTTGCCTTTTTATGTATGCTGTGAAGCACTTTGCGATTTTATCTGTGAAAAGTGCCATATAAATAAAGTTTTACTTACTTACGTGTTTTTATGTGCTGTGCGTCTGCTCTTCGAGGTTGTATCGAAATGGTGTTTC